TTCCTGCCTAGAGCACGGGGTCAGACTCGATGATCTACAAGGTCCCTTCTGACCCTAGAAATCTATAACTCAATATAAGGAAACTGGCATCTATGTGAGAGGCCACCTCCACATGACTCTACAAGGTCTCATACTATGAACACTGAAAGGTTTTGGTAAGTATGGAAACAGCCCAGTAGAGGTGGATTGTTAAGTACAACCATGCGCCAAGTCTACTGGCTTCAGTTTAAAAAAGGGCATGGCTTCAAATGAGAACCAACTGGTTCCAAGTGCTATATTTTGTACCTCTGTATAGCGATCCATCTCATGTTTATATGTCTCCAGGTCTCCCATTTTCAGAGCCATGGCAGCTTTTGTTAGCGTCACAACCAATGTTGGCACAATTCTTTCCACTTTCTGCAGATATTCCATGGCCGTTGATGGACATACATTCTTCATGCAAGGACTACAGAGGACATGAGGTAGCTGATTTGGTTCAGCAAGATGAAATATTTGAAGCACTTTTGCAGCTGATTCCTATTAAAATAGGAGTCATTTAAAGTAGCCTTAACCTTTCAGATATACATCGGGAGAAAGAAATAAAAGAAGAAAGTTGAGTGTAGTTAAGTCTCTTTCATACACTGGAGTGGAGCAGACTAAACCAAAAATCTCCCTGGGGTACATGGAGGTCACCCAAAGTGCAATCTTAACACCCTTTAACATTAAGTGGCATGTGGATCCATGGTTTTGGTTTGTTCACTATTGTAGGTAGCAAAAAAGGTTCTGATATAGATTTTAAGCATCACAATGTCAAGAGCCATGGGGAGGGCATCCAGATGAGTGAGGATGTGAAGTATACAGTGCTGCAATTCTGTCTGTGGCACTGCACACCACACATGCAGGCATTCCCTGTGATGCTAATTTGCTGTGTGGGAGAGGGGGTAGGGGGCTGACACTGGGAGATCCCAGTGTCAAAAAAAAACGGTGCCTTAAAAAAGCGGGATGGTGCATGTGGAAGCAGCATGGGCTGCCAGAAATAGAACCTGGCTGGCTGGAGCCACGCTCCAGCTGCTGGCAAGGCTCTGTGATGCCAAATTGCTGTGGCTGCAGCTCCTGGAGGTCCTCAGGACCCCAGGTAAGGTTGCTGGGGCCAGCCTCCCCATACCTCACCTGGGGCAATGTGCTGCACACCAGAGTGTGCATGCACAGGCATTTCTCAGGGACAAGCAGCAGCGGCACATGTTGTACTGCTAACATGTGCCACTGCTGTTTGTCCCTGGGGAAACGCATGATCCTGCTCATGGGGACGCATCCTGGATGTTCTTTGATAAGAGTTTCACTACTAATCTCTATATTTGTATAGAAATTACACATTGTTGCTATGTAGACAAAAAAACCAGAAAGACTCTCTGTGCCTCTCAAAGAAAAAGAGAATAATAAATTAATGAGAAATGTACAGCTTTACAGGATTTAAGCAATGTTTCTTTTAGAAATGTTACAAGCTCCTCAAAAACAGCAATAAGCAGCCATTTAAAAAACAATTCACACACCTACCTTACTTAATTCTTCATTTAATTCTTCATAAAGAGAATGATTTAAGTAAAAAATAAATCCTTTTTCATATTTTTGTGCTCTGTCCTCTTCCGAGTCCACTCTCTTCAAAATTTCAGTCATGGATAAATCAGACATTTTGTAGTAAGGCAGGGATAGATGGTAATCCTTTGTGTCAAACCTAAAAGTGATGCAACAAATAAAATTAGGCACCATTGTAACATTCTCTTTAACCAAAAATTTCACCCCAATATTTATGGTCTGGCTCACAACATTTCAACATCTGTATATATCCAGCCAAGACTAGACAAACCTAGTGAATCAAAGCTTAAGTGATTGAAATTAAAATTGTTGGCTCCCCAACCAGAATGCATTTACTTAAAACCTGCATTGTGAAGAGAATAAAAGGATCCAGATTTCTTCAGAAGTGACCTTAGGAGGACACCTTTGAAAAACAAAAACTAGTGGATGTGAAAGTGATATACTAATACAAACCTGCTAAAACAGTCTCCTAGGAGAGCACAACTTTCTTTGAATGATGCCAGGAGCTCCTCCTCCTCTTCTGATTCTATCAGACTTGGATCCATTAGAGCTGCTCGGACTAATAAATGAGCCTCGCTTAAAAGATGGATACAACTCTCAGTTCTTGAGTTTTCATATGTCCTACTGTAGTCTACCTGGAACAAATACAGGAAATACTTAGGTCTTATTTATTTGCGACTAATGCATAGCAAGATATTCACAGCTAAGATAGGTCACAAACCTCTAATCTACTATACCATATTTTATCTCAAAGAATCAGAAACAGGTGAGCAATACCATTTCTTTGTAAAGTTGAATAGTTGAAATAGTGTTCACTATATATAAATTCCAGCCAGATTCTGACTCAGAAGGTGCCTTGAGTGTGACACTACCAGTTTTTCTCGAACTGAAAAGACAGAAATAAAAGGAAGAGAAGCTGTCTGAACGAATGTTATGTATATGAACACAAGTTATCACCAATTTCATAAATGATCAAAAAAAAAATCACATATATACAAAGATACCTTTTAGGCCTTGTTTACACTTGAAATTTAATTCATATTAGAGTAGGACATGAATTGAAAGCACAATAGCCATTCCTGAATAACTCCATGTACAGGCAAAGCTATAGATGAAAAAAAAGTGTCATGGATAAGGACCTCTGGGCTAAACCTCAGCTAGATGAAAATTTATACCATTGACTGAATGGGAGCTAAACAATTTAAATCAATGAATCATCTGTCCCAATATCTTTACTTGCACTGTACGCAACAATTGGTGCACTTTTGCCATTTCAGTAACTTTTCATTACAAGGTTTATATAAAATAGAATGTCTAAACTCAGAATTCTTTACTCTTAAGGTATTAGCCAAGGGTATATTATAATAAAAGGTCACCACCTAGTTCTGTACATTAAATATGTATCACCTTTGCCTAAATAACCTGAAACTTGTAGTCTGGGCATTTTTTATTTGTTATAGCTGCCAAAATAATTTTTAGTGAATTACAGTTTTTGTCATTTTAAAAAGAAAATCCATTTGCAGAGAGACCATTTCATTTGATGTACTGACACTCGATATAAATTAAAAAATGTTATTACTATTCTCCACTTTGAACAGAATTCCATATCCAAGAGATACACAGACTCTTCATGCAGTCTCCTTCAATCTGAACCCAAAACTTCAATGCTAAACTACAGCACTTACAGGAGTCTTCTTGAAGGCCTCCTTCTTTCAGTAATATCTTCAGTATCTGCCTTAGTTAGAATAATTATATGGTTTTTGAAGTGACAAATGGCTTTCAGCCCTATAAAAAGCTGCATTCTTAATGCACACACATCCAAAGACACAGGTGGGCAAGCCTACAAAAGGAAAAAAAAAAAATCACATTAGAGTTAAGAATCAGAGGTCCAAGATAAAAAGGAGAGGCACGTGGAAGGGGGAAAAAAACCTAACCTCGTATGTGGGTTAAGATTTAATTATCTTTAAAAGTTTCTCTTAAATATGTACAGCTAATAAAATGATGTTAGCAGGAGATTATTCTTACTGAAATAAGCTATGAAAGTTAGAATTAAAAGTTGTCTGAATAGCTATGGTTGTCAGAATTTTCAATATGGGCAAATTATAACCTCAGTTTTGGAAGCAACTAAACATGGGGCCATCCAGGCCAGATGGGGTTGTGCTCTGTGCCCCAGGCTGCAACAGGACAGAGCCTGAGCAAGGATGAGAGGTAGGGGGCAGGCAGCAGTTATGGCACTGGCACTGTCTCTGCCACCCTCCCCCACTGCCTTGCACTTGATTCCAAGATGAAGGGTCACCCCACTCCATATTAAAATGGGCAAAAAACCCCTTGCCTGAATCTAGCAAATACAGTGCATACAAGTCTTCCAAACCTTCGAACTTCCTTATTTCACTTGCCTAGAGAACTGGCAAAGAAGGAATTCCCCAAGCATATAGTTCAAGCATACTTCAGCCTGTCTGTCCTAATAAATATTTACATACTTGTTCAGTCCTGCATAATTCAGTAGGTTATCACCTATCAACAGTATACAGAGAAGACAGACTTCAAACTTAGGTCTTTTTACCCTACAGCAACTGAGGATGCTTTCATAAATATCCGAATGAAGAGAGGGGAGATACATTTGCTACATCAGCTGAGGTCATCAGCTCTCATGAAGAGAATTTTGAACCTTGCAGACTATGACACAGGGAGTTATGTGTTGCAAACAATCTTCCATTAAGCCTTTGCAAATAGTTTGTTAATAGCTTAGGCTCAAAAAAAGCAGTCATAGATCCTGCATAAGCTAGTTTACACATCCATTGGAACAGTAGCATATGTACTGTATCCACTGGAACAATAGTATTATACCATTGCCAAATCTGTAATGCTTTTTTGTGTTATTCTGTTGCTTCAGCCTATAGAAACTAATGAAACTTAAGGACTAGACACTAAACAATTTGAGGAAAAGGCCTTCTTAGTACCCAGGGGTGTAGGTTGTAGCCATGTTGGTCTAAGGACATAGGCAGTGGTTCCTTAGGTGAATCTGATATCTTTTATTAGACCAACCCAAATAGTTGGAAAATAATTATTAAGCAAGCTTTCGGGTTCAAAAACCCTTTGTCAGGCTAAGGAAGTTTCAGCAGTTGGTGTGTGCTCTTCCTGTCTGCTGTTCTTAGTACCCATATTCACTTTAAGCTTTACATCAGCCATGAGACTACTAGGAGCACACCTTCACAGTTGTATCAATGTATGGGTCCTCATCACGAGCTGCTGCTGCACTGCACCGGACTGTGAAACACTGCAGGCTATTACTGAAGGAAAGAAAAAAGTCAATACAATTCAAAAGAAAATTGGAAATAACTAATATTTCACTGTTTAGAGAAGACTGTATAGTGCACTAAAATAAAAAATAAAAACGATAAGAACTATAATAGGGAAGGGGTGTGCAACAGGGGATACGAATACAAAGACAATTTCAGTGACAAGATGAAATGCAGGTATGAATTCATGAATACAAAGAACACAACCCCAAACACAGTACCTTGTAATAACGTGGAGGAATTGAGGGGTTAGAACTGCCTGCTCAGATTTCTCTGAATACTGGTAAGTAGAGAGCAATTCCACTAAATTCCCAATTGTATAGAGATACCCAACATGAGGCAAAGAGAAAAAACAGAAGAGACTCAGCAATTCTTTCTTGGCTGCAGTTTTTCTGTTGTCCGTCGTGAAACTTCCTAGATATAAAAATAAGGAAATATTGCTAATGGCCAATTTACTATGTATTTAAAAAGCATTTTGCAAAGATGTTGATTGTATAGGCCACTCTTATGTGCCCACTGTTTATTCCAATAGAACACAAAGGCAATTAAGTGTCTTGTGTTAACATTAATAAAAATTTTAACATCTGTGACCAGCATTTTTAAGGACAAAAGAATTGCCATTTACAGGGTCAGACCATAGATCCATCTTGCTTAGTAACCGATGTGTCACAGTGGCAGACAGTAGATGTTCAAAGGGGGAGTGAACTGGGTAAGACCAGGTGTTTTTCAACCATTCCTCTCTCAACTGCAGCCTTTAAGGTTTTGGTTTTATGATAGTGGAAGTTAGTCCGCTACACAGACAGAGGATGTGGTATTAATATTCTACAGGTTAAATTCTGCACAAACTTCATGGAAACAAAATTAGAGTTTGTGACTGGCTTTAATAAAGCTCAACATAAATGACTGAAAAGGAGGAACTTATTTTTCCTTTAAAGTTTTTAAGTGCCCAAACAGGAACCACGTAAAAAGAAAGGGTACATAAAGTAGGATTTCCCCTGGAACTTCTGTAGCAAAAAAACCTTGGCACCCATGGAAGCCAGCTAAGCTGGCTACTATATATGTATACTGTATATAGGGGTTTAGGTTGTAGCCGTGTTGGTCTAAGGACATAGGCAGACAAGGTTCCTTGGGTGAATTTGATATCTTTTATTAGACCAACCCAAATAGTTGGAGAATATACTATTTGGGTTGGTCTAATAAAAGATATCAAATTCACCCAAGGAACCTTGTCTGCCTATACTGTATATATACACTTCTATTTACCTGTTTGGTACATAGGCAGCATCTGAAGAGAATGCAACTTGGTTTCTTCAACAGAAAAGACAAAAGATGACAAATCTGGAGTAAACCGTCTAGAGGAGGAAAAAAAAGAAATCCTCATATACTTTCAATTATAAACCACTTCAAGATACCAAACCAGGACAAACAGCAATAATCACAGAGGGTGAAGCATTAAGGCTCTATTATTATATTGCATGTCTAACTACTAGCACATTTCATGTAGGAAGAGTATAGCATACTCAGATTCCAATACTTGTATGTACCTCAAGCTCCTATGATCAAGGAACTCCATCTGTCCATTTGCACTGGATACTAGAGGTTAGTATATGTAGGTAAAACTACAATGAATTTGAATCCCAAATCTAACTTTGTACTATTATACTCAGTTGAACTACAACCAGCATTTTTCTCTGTCCTTTCCCTCCATTTACATATCACTCTGTTTCCTGGCTTATTTTGGAATTTCTTGCTAGGAATTCTGTAAGTTCCTGCTCAGTTCCTAACTGCACCCTTTCATGGTTTTGCTAGCAAACTAATCTAAATACTTTGCACTTTTACTTAATGCATTTTTAATCTACAGGGGTTCTGACCATTTCCCAAAGCTGATCACTGTCCCTTCTTTCAGCTCTAGAAAGACATTTTCAGAGGTACCACATATCTAAAAGTCCAGCAGATGATAATGCTGCAGATATTCAACTCTCCTGATAGGTCAGATCCTAGGTCTCAGGAAGTCAAAGGAAAGTAACTCCTGATACTCTGCCCAGTGACCAGTCCATTAGACTATGTAGCCTCAACCAATAAAGATCAACACTTGAACAAGTGCACCAGAACAAGGCCACAACCCCATGGTAGCAGTGCTCAGGTACAATTTTTACAGGTGAGTCAGAAAGAAGAGAGCCTACACCAAGGATTCCATACCCTCCTACAAGAGAAAGTGCTGTGGCAGTACACGGTCCCCATCCACCCTCCACCCAGCTAGGCAATTAATCCACACCAAAAATACAAAGTAATTCCATGTTGGAGTGGAGCAACAAGCCACGTTCTCCTGCAGAGACTGACTGCAGGCTGGGCAGTTCAAAAGCTTTGAGACCAAGGGATGGATTTAATAATACTTCCACCTCAAAGCAAAACTCTTCTACTTTGACTGTGATCCAAAATCAGAAATTTGTTCTAAAAATTAGAAGTGAGCAATAGTTTATTTCCAGGTTCCCAAAAAATAAAGCAGTAATATAATACAGGAACACAAGAGATTTTTATTACCGGTATAGGATGTAACACACTTGGAAGTGTTCTGCATCTTCAGTATTTAACCTTGTTGATTCCAGTGTGACAGATATCCCACACAGTTTACTTTCTTCCCCAAGCAGTTCCGTAGGCTTCTGACAGATGACAAAGTCATCCGATTCAAACTGGGAAGAAAGTGCTGAAGGGGCTTCATCTTTTATACCTGAACAATTAAAACACTGCATTAGTTTTCCAAATGAGTGCAGTGGAATTCTTGACAAGATAGAGAAGGCGGAAGACTCAGTTAAACACTTCAAGTGAAGCTACGTAGTTAGTATCATCCACCTCAAAACTGCAGAAGTTTGTTTTAAATGAGAAACTGAAGTTTGTTGTGTCTTGATACATTTTCTTGTTAAACTACCTAAGAGTCAAGGGATAGGACACAAAAAGGTGTCTCGCCCAATACAAGAACTGCAAAATGACTTTTGAAGGAACAGATTCTTCAAATAAAACTAAAGGCATTCAGAAAGGTGTCTGTACCTAGTAGCATCAAGATGAAACAGAACTGGTTTGGAGTGTTTAGTGTTGTTTTAACATCACATTCCTCAGAAAAGCAACGCCCTAAGACATGCCAAAAGAAATCTACCCCCTACCTATTTATTTTTAAGTAAGAAGAACCACTAGAACAGTGGTTCCCAAACAGCGGGTTGCAACCCCACATCAGTGTGGGGTAGGAGTGAGGGGCCATGCTGAGGAAAAGTTTGGGAAGCACTGCACTAGGAGCATGGAAGCCATCATCAGAGGAAGTTCAGGGTCATCCTTGCAAACAGTGAGAAACAAATTTAAAAGGGAAGCCATCAATTTAGTTTTTTTACTGCATTGTAATTTTTTTTAAATTCTAGTTTGAGGAATCATTCATTATATTTATTTTTATGGTTTTTAAAAATATATATTTTCAAAATAAATAAAGAATATTTCCTCTACTCCTGTGACACTTATTGGGTATTTTCTAAAATGGAAAAACTGATTATGATATGGTTGCCTGCAATAGCTGGAGACTGGACTCCATCACCAGTATGTTTCTCCAACTATGCAAAGAAACACTGAAATCAGCTACCCAAAATAATGTCAAGTATGGAAAGCAAAAGACTGAAAACTATTTTCTCAGTTCTCTTTAAGTTTCGGGTTTAATCCTGTAAGTGCTTATTTATCTTTGTATACATATGCAATTCCATTGAAGTACAAAGAAGTATTGATTTATGTGTTTGCAGATTCGGTACAGTCATTTTAGATGTTATTTGTAACTCTAGCAAGTACAAATGTTTCAATCAGAAATCATATATTTAAAGAGCACCATCACTTCAAAGATGTTCATAAACATTTTTGAAGGGGAGTGGGGAAAAAAAATCAACCTGTTAGAGCACATTTTGAAATGAATCAGATTATCTCTAGACTCTAGGGAAAGTAAAATTAAATTCCAGTTTACCTTCATTCACAAGCTTTTCTGGTGCATTGATCTCGTGTGCACAAAGTTCAGTATCATCTGCACCTTTTTTAACTGATTTCAGCTTCAGGATTAAAACATCCAATTCTGTTGTTATGGCTACATACCCGGCACAAAGTGCAATTTCTGCCGGGATGACATTGTCTATGTGCAAAATTAAGGAGCGTTCGAAGTCCAATACACTGAAATCAGGATTTATCACTAGGTATTTCAAACAGAACATCACCAGTTTATTTTTGCAGCCCACAAGAAGATCACCATTTACAGGACAACAAGAGATGCAGAGCGGAGGGTCTGAAAGAGGCATTTCCACAATGGACATCTGCTCTTTAGAAAGTGCACTGTAGGACTCTTCCACTTTGTGACCCACCATCCGGACGCATACGCGAGAGTTCCCAGCTGACATGCATCTCCAGTTCACATAAGCTCGCAGGGAGGTAGCCTTGTTTTTCTCCTCAATTGTTACCAGATAGTCTCCTGAAAAAAGGAGAGCAACAGTACCATAGTAATACTACAGCATAGCCTGGAAATAATTTGTACTCTTGTGCATGCTGTTGCTGCAAAGGCACAACATAGTTTAATGAAACAGAATTGTGAATTTGAAACAATTGTTTAAATTAGGTAGAAATATTTCAGTGAGACCTCTCAGGGACAGCATGCACTCAGAGGTCTGTAGAGGCCTACAGTACCTCAGCGAGGATGAGGATGCAGATGCGCAGGCAAGGATCACTATATGGTTACTTATAACTCCACTCAATCTAGACTTCAATAGGTGTACAAGAAATAAAGGCTCAAATGTTTTATTCCCTCATCCTGATATTATTTTCTCCCACTGCCCACAGACAAGGCTCTGGAAACCTTTTCTGAAACTCAAGTTAGCGCAACATAGCTACCGAGACCATCAAATACACTCCAAGAATAGGGCAGGCGAGTACCTCTGTCCTTTTCCAGACAGATCGGCATAACGCCGCAATTCCCTCTACTTCTAAACTATTTCCCACAACAACAGGAAAGAATCAGCTGGAGCAAGAAAAGTGTTCCTTTTACTAAAAAATAAAGGAATTGTAGCAAGTACAAGGAGTATCCGTGCAGCAAGTCTCCTCCTCGGATTTGCCCTAAATTGATTACTAGGTTGACACTGCAGACCAGGATTTACAAGGGGATGACGGGAAAGGCACTGCTAGTCACTCGCTCGTTTGGGGAAGAAAACCAAACGACGAGAAGTTTGCCGAGGAGTCTTAGCTCGTCTGAAAAGCGCCCGGCGCGGAAGGAAGCGCGACTCGTCATGACACCGCTCCTGCAGCGCCAGGGGCCTCGGCTGCTCGGAAACCCGAGCTGGATGCTCCGCGGGGGCGGCGCAGCGCCCGGCCCGGCGCCGCTCCGCACGCACGCACGCACGCACCCGCCTCGCTGTAGGCCATGCGCAGC